CCTTTCAATACTCATTATAGTCCGTATATGAGCCAGCATATATTCTCAAAGTTTGAAATGAATTAATTATTTAAGTTTTTTGTTCCTTATAAAAATACAATACATATTACACAATTGAATGTCTTTGGAAAATATTTAGTTGTCTAATTATTACGAAATTAGAATACCTTTTCCATGAGTAGCCTAAAATTTACTCATATGTTACCGACCGAATTATAAAAAATAGTTACATTTTGTAATTTCAACATTGTCAAATCTTACTGTATATTACTTTCCTTTAATTTATTTGGTGTGCCAGAAATGGAAGTCCGGTGGCTTAGTGTAATTACCGTTACCTGGCGGATAAAAGCATCAAATTTGGTATGAAGGTACCTTAGGGTATACTAATAAATTTTAGCCTAGGAGCCCTTTTGAAATTTTAAATATTTCCATACACGGCACCAAAATCCAAAATGGCCGACAAATACGACAAAAACTACCTTTTAAGCAATCCATTCTGCGGTTAACTCTAAAATACAAATTAAATCCAACCAAGACTCTACAATACAAACCGGAGATATACTAAATTGTATGAAAAAAATCGTATGTGTGTCTGCGTGCAAGTGGGTGGGGTATGTGTGTGAGTATTTTCGTAACGAAACCTGTACTGGACATTGCACAAAAATGGTCAAACCAATTGACTGCACATTCGGTGTGGACTTTGGTTAGTATCATATGTCAACATTTAGATCTGTTTCCTTTTATTTATCTATTTTTTGTTTTTTAGATATATTTTCCAAATTTCTGTTGGTCTCCATTTTATTGGTCTTCCAATTTTCAAGTAATTCTTGTGTAATAAAGTTTTGTTTTGAAGACATATTTACTAAATGACATATTTATTATGTGGTATTTACTTAATCATACGCTTAAACGATCACACATCGGTCCCATTTAACATCCACGTTTAGTTGTCCTGGGAAAAAATCGAGTAATTTAGTCTATGGTAAACACTACACCATTGAAATAGGAATTTACTTTGGTTACAAAGGATTTTTGCAGTTATATTTTTTCTATTGTATACACTATTAGTTAGTATTACATTTTGGAATCTGATTTTGAAAAGCTTGATATTTTATCCTACTCTCTAATACGAGCTATGTCTGTCTGCAATATATATGTTGGAATCCAGAAGAAGGATTTTGAATAAATTTTGTAACCCATAGACTTATACTCCTGAAAACGTGATTGGTGGCCACTACCTCAGGAAAATTCGTAGTTATGGCTACACAACTCATTTAAAAATTTTATATTGGTCTTATGGGTTGCTAAGTAACTGTTGGTGGATAAAAACAAGGAAAAAGTAAACAAAAGAGTTGTCGTCACTACTCACATGTGTTTATAACAAGCCATCCACAGTATACTAGCAAATAAAAAAATAAAGTAAATAAACGGTATCAGCATTCTGACACATACTTTCTCCCATAAGTTTGTCAAAAACCTTTATCATATGTAAGTGGTGAGAGTAAATATACGCAAATGGGATTTGTACAATTTAAAGGACTACAACATGCTAAATTTTAATCAAAATCGTTCGGGCCATTTTTGGGAAAATCCGATTTTTCTGTTATTTTATGGGGGTTTTATGGGAAAATGACATAATTTACAATAACTTTTGAACCGTAATTTTTACAGAAATGGGATTTGTACCATTTTGTTCAGAATATACAGGACTATAACATACTAATTTTTTATCAAAATCGTTCGGGCCATTTTTGGGAAAATAATATTTTTCCGTTATTTTATGGGGTTTTATGGGAATATCCCCATTAAAAATAAAAATGTCTAAAAAATTAAAAAAAATCTATCAAAACTGTAAGGACTATAACATACTATGTTAAATCAAAACCGGATTTTATTTCTGAAATCCTATTTTTCGTTATTTTATGGAGTTTTTATGGGAAAATAACATATTTGACCATAACTTTTGAACCGTAATTTTTACAGATATGGGATTTGTACCATTTCATTCAGAATTTAAAGGGCTACAACATACTAAATTTTTATCAAAATCGCTCGGGCCATTTTTGAGAAAATCCGATTTTTCCGGTTTTTTATGGGTTTTTATGGGAAAATCCCCATTAAAAATCAAAATTTTAATAAAATGAAAAAAACGCCTCGAGATACCATGGATTAGAACCTACATACCAAATTTCATCGAAATCGGACCACAGGTGTGGTCTCTAGCTTTGTACACATCCAGACACACAGACACACACACACACACACACACACACACACACAGACATCACTTCGAAAACCACTTTTTTGGGTCCAGGGGGACCCAAAACGAATATATACACTCAAAACTCAAACTCGAAAATTTTGACGAAAACAATACTTTCTCCATATACTATGGTATAGGGGGAGAAAGTAAAAGGAAAAAACATCAGTTGTAACTCTTGAGCAAATATTACACTGAATATTACTCCATATAGTGGGAAATATTTCCGATCAAAAACTGATTATTTTAATTATCCCTCACCCACCAAAACTTTATCCCTGAAGTACTGAGGCATTCCAAGTAAACTAATTACATCTGGGGTTTTTTAATTGGCATAAAAATATTACCGTAGATATGCTAAATCCCAATGAATAAAACAGACCGAATCTCAATTTCTTTAGAAGTACTATCGAAAAAGCAAAGAACTGTTGTCACAAGTCGCTCTAAAACTAATATGATTTTGTTTGTATCATATTTTTATATACTGTCTTTAGTGAGAGTAAAATTCGAACAACGGGTTTCAATGACTATAGGGGAGAAACATTCTGTGCGAGTAGCACTTTAACTTAACTTTATTACTCTTTGGTTTGTAATAAAAAGTTTTTTTTTCAAATTATACAATGTTTGTTTAAAATATTGTTTTATTTTAACTATTACACCCAAATAACTACAACCGAGCTAGGCTTGGTCAACTGGCACTTTGCTTACTTATTGAACATCAAAACATTTTAATGCCGTAATAATTATAAATATACTGTCTTGTCTAGGAAAAATTTTAAAAATGCTAGCATTTTTCCTTGTGAAAAGTTCATTTTTGGTAAAAAAAAGGCACATAACATAATTTTAACTTTTTCAGCTAAATAAAGTTTGCATAAACACCCAAAACATTTTATTAATTTAATAACACTGTAACACTGCACAATGTTAATAAATAAATTACAAAAAATCTATTTATTTAACAGTCTGGGTTTGTTAAAGGCTAGTAAAAGAAAATTAATAAAACAAAGATAAAAACATTGCTTTCCATAAAAACACCCAATATATAGGGTGTCCCGTTTCCACTATGATAAATTTTACCAGGTTATAGCATGTTATAGCTAACTTCGGAAGTCCAAAACAAGCAACAAATGTAATATAACATATGTACTTTCTCGAACCGTTTTTGGTCTATCTATCTGTGTGTATTTTTACTTAATAAATCGTATTTACTAGCCTATATAACATGTATATTCATATAGTGATATTAAGCTTGAAAAAACAAACGGCCTAAAACGGTCAAACGGTTAAAATCGTACAAAGTAGAAACTTGATATTCCATACAAAGGTCTTATTAGATGTAATACATGTACCAAGTTTGAAGTTTGTATATTTAAAGGATGTTGAGATATAACGGTTTGAGATAGGACACATGATATGTTATAATTTTTGGTTCCTTTGGGTTCTTGAATGACCTGGTAAAATTTGTCATAGGAGAAACGGGACACCCTGTAAAGTATTCTAATACGAGCAATGCCTGTTTGCAAAACTTATCTCGATTTTGCTGAAAGTTTGTTATTAGCTGCTTTTGGGATTACTAAATTGATTATTCAAATATAAATAACTTTTCTTTAATTATGTTTGAATGGAATGCAATTTTCTCAATACAAACAAGCAGTGAATACAGATTGCAATCACACCTTCTCTGATGGGTTGTACCGATTCGTTAACACTAATAAGATATAAACTGCCATGTTACATGAATTATTTAATATAATTTGTATCCACAATGTCATATGAAATAGAATAAAGAATATTGTAAATCAACAATATTAGCTGAAAATGGTAGTAAACACATCAGTATACCGCAAAACGTAACACATAGCATCAAGAAACTGCAACAATAGAACGCAACACTAACTGCGTCTCAAAAAATGAAAAACAGCTGTTTACGGTTATGACGTTTGATGCGTATGCGGTACAAATATGAATCAATACGGTTCAACTACCTAATCAACACATCACAATAATCTAGTGCATTTTTGTTATTTATAATAGTAGTCTCTCGTAAATATATATTCCCACGTGATTTTTGAACGTATTTGTCGGCCATTTTGGATTTTGGTGCTGTGTATGGAAATTGTTAGGAATTCAAAAGGGCTCCTAGGCTAAAATTGATAAGTATACCCTAAGGTACCTTCATGCCAAATTTGGTGCTTTTATCCGCCACGTAACGGTATTCGTAAACTAAAGCCCTAAGCCACCGGACTACACTAACTAACCATGGATAAAACATACCCCTTTAGGAGTATGTTTCATTTATGCTCTAACTAACATTTAGGCTAGTAACACACTCCTGTAAACTATAGTACAATTTCTATTGTTCATGAATCTTTGTGCCATCATATAATTGAAACATTTAGTATATTTCAGTCTAATTTAAGTTGACTTTTTAAAATCCTTCATCAGTGGTAGTAATTTAGAATATTAGTCACATAAGACTAATATGAAAGGAATAATGTATGCAAATTCCCAGCGATATACAGTATTCTATTTGTTAGGGTTATTTTCCAAAACATATTTTCCAAAATAAAAGGAAATTCCTCATAAATACATCTTATAATCTATGAGATCTGTTTGGTGATACTGTGTGACGTTTGCTTAGTAGTAACATATTAACAGAAAATTATGAAGACTTTCAGCTCTTTAAAAAAACAGCAATTTATATTTTTCAAACACAATTTTAAAAACTACAACATTTTCATCATCTCTCATTTCGTTGTACTCCAGTGATGTCAGAACGTTGAGTCTCTCTCAACCGATTCTGACAGTTGTCTGTCAACAACAAGGTGAAGTTAGTGACGTCATCGCATGACGTTAGGGAGGGGGTGGGGGTGGAACTGTCCCTCACAGCAAATAAGTCCTCACACGACCCCTCGGCTTGTAGTTGTATATTCCTCACTATATTGCTGCATAAACTGCCTTCAAATCTTGGAAAGTCTGGGGAATCGTTGACATCACGAGTTATACCTGCATTTATCATGGAATTGTGTAAATTGAAGTTAAATCATTACCATACTTCGTTTTAAACTTTTCTCACAACAGTCATATACGTAAAACTAGTAGTAAATTATTAAGTAGTGCAACAATGAAATTCACAATGATTTCCTTTTATGGTGACGTAAGTTTCAAGTCACATAATGCACAGAAAAATTAGATAATAGAGATAACATTCAATGGTATACTTAAGTGGTGTCTAGCACTACTGCTGGTGTCTAGTGCAAAGTCTAAGTTTTTATAACGTCACCTTATATCGTTATCGTAGGCTACTTATGCATAACCGAACTTGAACTACTTTTTATGTTTCTTAGGAAAGAAAACAGTTTATTGAGCGGAGCGAGCGAAGCGAGCGAAGCTCTTACACGTCGACTCTTATGCATTTCGTAATACGCAAACTCCTCCTAGACGGCTGAATCAATCGTTTTCAAATTTTGCATGGTGATAAAGACCATATCGGTGAGTGCCAACATCTATATGGCGTTAAAAAAGTCTCTCAGGAATCCGCCCCCCTGGGTCTCAAAGTTTCAATGTAATCCTTATGGAAGCAATATTTGACACATAAACAAATACATATGATCAGCTGTTGACTTTTGAATGCAGTAGATAAAGAAATAGCTGAAAGCATTATTCCACATATATTAGAACAGAAACGGTATGGATCATAAATACAGGGTGATTGATATAAGTGTGCCAGCGGTTTTATTAGAAAACTATAAGAGATATCAAAAAAAGTTAAATGGTAAGTGCCTTGGATTTTTTATTAAAAAAATTATAGTCAAGTCAAAAAAAATATTTTAGCCGCCATTTTTCCAATATGGCCGCCAACTTTGATTTTTCTTATGGAACACCCTGTATTTTATGATGTATTCTGGTAGAAAACGTTATTTTAAGACGATTTTATTCTTGTGAATTTTTTCATAAACCTAACCGTTTCAAAGATAATAATGGTTAAAGTTGTGAAATTTTGAATGGTTTTCGAGCAAAACAGCTGGCATGCTTGCTTAGGCCTTTATCGAAACTCTTTCTCATGCAGAAATTTCAAAACTTTAACCATTATTATCTTTAAAACGGTAAGGTTTATGAAAAAAATCACAAGAATAAAATCGTCTTAAAATTACCTTTTCTACCAGAATACATCATAAAATACAGGGTGTTCCGTAAGAAAAATCAAAGTTGGCGGCCATATTGGAAAAATGGCGGCTAACATAAATTTTTTGACTTGACTACAATTTTTTAAATAAAAAATCCAAGGCACTTACCATTTAACTTTTTTTGATATCTCTTATAGTTTTTTAATAAAACGGCTGGCACACTTATATCAATCACCCTGTATAATCAATTGACGACACTAGCTTGAGGTTCGTGACGTATGAAGTGGTGAAGAAAGAAGTAAAGGCGAGCAGTCTAGAGTGTGGAAACTGTTTATGACGATTAGATTAAGGTATCTGCATTCCTAAAATTCTATGGGAAGGGAGGAAAACAGGTCCACGACGTAGGAAGTGGTGAAGGAAGTAGTAAAGGCGAGCAGTCTGGAGTGTGTAAACTGTTTATGGCGATTAGATTAAGGTATCTGCATTCCTAAAATTCTATGGGAAGGGAGGAAAACAGGTCCGCGACGTAGGAATTGGTGAAGGAAGTAGTAAAGGCGAGCAGTCTGGAGTGTGGAAACTGTTTATGACGATTAGATTAAGGTATCTGCATTCCTAAAATTCTATGGGAAGGGAGGAAAACAGGTCCGCGACGTAGGAAGTGGTGAAGGAAGTAGTAAAGGCGAGCATTCTGGAGTGTGGACACTGTTTATGACGATTAGATTAAGGTATCTGCATTCCTAAAATTCTATGGGAAGGGAGGAAAACAGGTCCGCGACGTAGAAAGTGGCAAAGGAAGTAGTAAAGGCAAGCAGTCCGGACTGTGGGAACTGTTTGTGGCAATTAGATTAAGGTATCCGCAATCCTAAAATGTTTGGGAAGAAAGGAAAACAGGTCCGCGACGTAGGAAGTGGTGAAAAAAGTAGTCAAGGCAAGCTGTCCGGAGTGTGGGAACTGTTTATGACGATTAGATTAAGGTATCTGCAATCCTTAAATGCTACGGAAAGGGAGGGAAACAGGTCCGCGATGTAGGAATTGGTGAAGGAAGTAGTAAGGTGAGCAGTGTGGAGTATGGTAACTGGAAACCGTTTGTAGCAGTTTTATTGTATCTGCAATGCTGAAATACTATGAGAAGGAATAGAAGCATGCCCACGACATAGGAAATGGTGAAAGAAGTAGTAAAGTCTAGCAGTACGGAGTGTGGGAATGTTTGTGGCAATTAGAGTAACGTATCTAAAATACTAAAATGCTATGGAAAGTGATGAATACAGGTCCACGACGTAGGAAGTGGCTTAGGAAGTAGTAAAATATGAGCATCAGCATAGTGTGAGATCCGTCTGTGGCAGTTAGATTAATGTATCTTCAATACTATAATGCTACGAGAAAGGAAGGAAACAAGTCTACGACGTAGTAAATGGTGAAGAAAGTAGTAAGGCTAGCAGTGCCGAGTGTGGGAACTGTCTTTGGCAAATACATTAATGTATCTGCAATCCTAAAATGCTATGGGAAGAGAGGGAAACAGGTCCACGACGTAGGGTGTGGTGAAGGAAGTAGTAAAGGTGAGCAGTGTTGAGTTTGGGAATGGATTAATGTACCTGCGATGCTAAAATGCTACGGGAAGAGACTGTAGACTGTATGTTAAAATGATTACGAAGCAGGAATCGATACATATTGAATTTTCGATACATGCAATTGTTTACAATCGAAATTTACAACTGAGTTGACAACAGCTGATTTTTACTCCATAGAGGCTAAAAAACCATTTTTACTCCCTAAATATTAAAAATGCTACTTTAGACCCGCAACGCATGCATTCAAAACTACTGTTTTTACTTTAGTATGACAAAAACAATATAATATGAACCCTTGATGACTCCGCTCAATTTTGTGGATGCCTCTGCAAACGCCACCTAGTTTAATTTGTTTTGGTAACAACACTCAACGCTGTAGGGAACAGCGATATTGTTGCATTAAAGTAAGATTTTCTAATCTTATAAAATAATATGCCAATACTTAAGCATTGGAAAAAACGTAAAATCTCTCTTGAGATCATGTACCTAAAATTATGAAAAAAATCGTTTAAACGATCAATTACCTAGTTCTTAATTGGTAAACTTTAGGTTTTTTAATCTAACAAATACCTCATTGGGTTTTAGAGGGATTTTAGTGTGAAATAGGTAAAAAAATGTCATCGCCATTTTAAAAGTAGCATCGCAATAAATTGAAACATTTCTTAAGACGTACGTACCCTTACTATCTTCAAAGAGATCTGTGTCCTTCACTACTACAGTCTGCTCCTGGTAGTTGAGAAGTCTAGAATGGACTGGACAAGGAGGAGAGTTCAGCACAGGACAGTGGGGTAGGTGGAAGGTGCTCTGTAACATTATTTTGAATATTAATAGATTTTTAACATAGTATTGTATAGAACTCTGTTATAAGTGTAAAATACCAACTCTCTTATTCGCTCTGGCATGGTTGAGTTCTATCCCACATGCAATGAGTAGGCCTATGGTTTTACTATTCATAAGATATAATGAACAACATAGCTTATATATTTTTGCAAGGATTGGTAGTGCTAAGGTTATACTCTAAGTTTAAAAATTGTACGTTAATATTACCTACACAGTGAAAAAATTAAAACGTATATTAGTGGGCTTTGCGTCACTATGGTCTAAGATAACCATTTGAAACGAGCTCAAGTTTAAACTGCTGAGGCGAAAGCGAAGTTTGAGGTAAAAAAAGTTTGACCAAAGATGTATTTTTCGTCACACCGCATAATTCTAGGAGCTCACTAATTCACAAAACTTCTTGCTTAGTAGTTATCTAGCTAAACTAGCTCACAAATTTACTCTTTTTTAATTAGAGGAAAGTTAGATGCATTAGACATAACACTTCGGCAGCTATGTCTTGGAATCGCGTCTCAGTAACACAAGTTTATAAGGGAAATATTATTCCGTATCATAAATATGAAGAAACAAATTCCAAATTTAACCCTGAGGTTACAACAAATGTCAAGCCAATGTTTTAACAAGGAAAGAAAGTAGGATTAATCAAAACTACAATACTAGCAGAATCTCTAGTAATCGTAGATTTAAAAATGACTTTTATAAATACGATATGATAGGAATTTACATGTATTTCTTTCTCCGTTTGAACGTTGAGATATTCTGCCAATCACATTCCACTGAGTTTGTTAGGTTATAAAAACAAGAAACAGGATAAAGGGACTGTCAAGAGAATGAGATATGTTTGACAAGTGTTACCCTCTTCTGTTCTGAATCCTGTGACAACAATTAGTCCAAAAATTATGCACGACGTTGTTTAAATAAATGTAAAATATTGTAGCCCTAGGGATGCGTAGAGTCCGAGGTGGTGAACCCCAACAGACTAGGGAGTATGTAGTTTTTTTACAAATTCACTTACCAACTGTCTCCTAAACATCTCTTGCTGTCTTATCATTTTATCATTTTCCTGTCTTTCTTTCCCCAATTGTTCTTTTTGTTCGATAACCTTTTGTTTCAAATCTTCAATAGTTCGTCTCATTTCCGTTATTTGGTTTTTAAGCTTACACCTGTATATGTCTGAGCTATTATCCAGTACTTCATGCTGCTGCATTTTTGTCTCCATTGTTTTTCTAAACAGTAAAAAAAGACAAATGAGAATATTGACTGTTGTTCTTTTTTTTTTAACATCCATCCACTTACCAAAACCCTGAACATTCTTTTGTAGTTAGCTATGTACTGTTATGCAGATATTATATTCAAGGAAGCCCATAATCAAACCAGGCTGGTTTTTTTCTAAGTTTTAACTATTAAAAATAAATAAATGTATTTTATAGGGATGTAAGCCGTAACATATTTTAGTAGTTCCGTCTAGCGTTATTTTATGAAGGTTACCTGCCATTAAATTAATTACCTACAAAGCATACCTTATCATCGTGTAGGTGCACTTTGTGGCTCATGTAGTTAAAGAAACATTACTTTAATCACAAAAAGTTTTCTTTTTGAACCTAAATCCAAACAGCATTCAATGATATATTCTGTAAACGTTTTCAACCAGTTACTTGTCACTGTCAAAGAATTATTATTGTTGCTACTGTATTTAATAAACACAATAAAAAATAATCAAGGAATCAAATTTTGGCATTTCCACAACCAATATTTTGAAGTATTACATTTAACAAACTGTTAATTTCAAATTTGAATTAATTACAACATAAACCTTACCACTTAAGAATTTCCAACCACTAAAATCTTCTAATTTTGAGAAAAAAGGAAAGAGAAATGGTTACGATAATACTAGATTAATCTGTTTCCATAGATACTAACACCCTATTTCATCTGGATAATATTTTATAAGGCGTGGTGAATAGTCAAGTAGAATTATTCATGGTAGTTGATGAAGTATGCAGTAACTCTTATTGCAAACTACTGTGTTCAGAGTTATACATCATACATGATAATTTATGTAACTTGTGGCTCATTACTTATACATTTTGATAGTGACAATAATGTTTACTTTAAGTTCAGTCAACTCTATAGCTAATCATTTACTTGACAACAATTTATTTAATCATAGTTAATAATGATGCTACGTTGAATTTGTAGAATAGTTATGCATACTGTTTTGAGTGTTCCGTTTTATTTACTAAAGGTAAGCAAGATCAATCCAACGTAATATAACATACGCTTTTCCATTTAAAAATGTATCAGACTGTGCATTTTTCACGGAATTATTATTTCTCAAAAGGTTCTTGGAAATCGTCAACAAGTTTAATAAGGACTAATAGGAGATTCTCAGGTTTTCAGTAGTCGTTAAAATTAAATTAATCCAAACAAATTGTAATCGTATTAACTATACATTTTATTCAAAACTATGTGGAGAATTACCTTGTCTTCTTTATTATTCTCAAGCAATTCATAGTCTTAATTAAGTTTGGATCAAATCCTCGACAATCGTTTTGCCTTGCACTATACAAATTCTCGAAACAAATAGTTCCTGAAACTATCATCATGCCGAACCAGAACAAACGTTCTCAGTTTTTTACAAACCAAACAAGAGTCAAATTAATGCAAACATAGCTTTTGACACTGGTAAAACAAAGGACAGTAAAGATTGCACGGTGAAATGATTTTGTAGGATGAGTTTATCTCAGCTAGAAAAACAAAGGTTATTCAGTGAACCATAGTGGTTATCGTAGTTGGTAAACTATATAGAGTGTCCATAAGAATAACATTGAAGCTTTTACGGCGTAACCCTTTTGTAAAATCACTATGAAAACTATTTTGACCTGAATAATGAGTATATCGAATTTCAACCTTCTAGCTGGTCTGGAAGTTGAAGAATAAGTGATGAATTAGTCAGTGAGTGAGTGATAGCTTTGACTTATATTTAGATATAGCTTTTGCCATAATTGTTGCTTATTGCAAGTTAAAAAGCAGTAGCTAAAGTCAATATTATTTAAGTAAGTTATCAGTTTTACAAATTACCAGACGATTTGTCGTAGCCAATACAGTTTACTCCATCTATCTACTACACAGGTAGAGTGGTCAACATGAAAACGCTTTCCGCCTGACTATCTTCCTTACCTGATATTTTTGTTTTATAACTAAAGAGTTCGTGACGAATATCTTCGAGGACCTTTTATACGAAGTGTTCCTTATTTTATAAGAGGGTTTTTATTAATGTTGATTGTATTAGATTCCAGGTGTTATGGATTTGTTCCTTTTCTCTTTAAACTACTGAAGTTATCGTACTGCTAATCGGGCAAAAAAAGGTGGAAATGTCGCAACCACTTGAATAAAGAAAACGTTTTATTGTAGCTGTCCTGAAGTTAAAAGGTACTATTGATGGTGTAATTTAAAACCAACCAATGTTAAAGATGATGCTGATTATGTTTGTGATTATTATCTTGATGTTGATGATGTTTATTTAAAATTTAAACGCTTATTAGCACACATTGTATGAAATTCACACGAATGCAATTTGTATGAATTATTAGTGCAAATTGTTCGTTTTTGGAGTGCTAATTGAATTTTCCGTAACAAATCCTTGTAAACATGTATAAGCACGTTCTTTGACAAGATATATCCGTGAGGTTATCATAGCACATCAATATCCAGAGTTTCTCCTCTACTGAACAGCTCTTTGAAGTGGAAAACCCTGTTAGAGGCAAGAGCATCAGGCTCTGTACCAAGAGATGGCGAGCTTTGTATAATCTATTGACCACAATGGACAGCTGGATAGTCAATTATTAGCCACTTTGGTATATACTAAGATGAGTGTTAAATACCAAAATATTTTTCTAATAGATAAAAAAAGATTTTCGGGGTTTGTAACTTTGCATTGAAGAGCTTTCAGTATTCTTTTACAAAATTCAACTCGTGTTAAAAAACACATAAAAATACTGAAAATATATTTATTAGAACAGTTTTTGCTTCAAAATTACAATTAAGTTATATTATAAATCCAAGTTCAATAATATATTGTATATAAATCTTTGTTATAGCTTTATAGTGTTATATATAAGTCACAAATAAAATCTCAGAAAGGCGAAGGCAAAATTTTAAATTCGCCAATAGAGTAAACTGTCTTAAAACAAACACCGACACAGATCTGACATACACAATGTTCTAAAACTAGTATATTGACAGAGTATTGTGCCTTACAACAGTGAGGTGACAAATTCATTTTTTCTGTGACTGGAGGTATTGTTTTCTTTTAATTTCTACATATAATTTAGCTCTAAAATTTACAATGGGATGGGAAGTCTACTGGATTGTGTTGCTATAGCCTAGCGTCCTAGAAATAAAATGTTGTTTCAGCTGATTTTTATTTTTTGCAAAACAGCTGATTTTTTTTTTAATTTTCCAAAAAAGCTGATTTTAAAGTTATTTATAAACAGCTGATTTTTCAAATGATGGGAAAATTTGGTGAAACAGCTGATTTTTAAATACTTACCAAAAAGCTATTTTTCTAAAGTTTACTTTGCAAAACAGCTGATTTTTCAAAGGTTAGCAAAACAGCTGATTTTTCAATAGTTTGCGTAACAGTTTATTTTTCAAATGTTGGCAAAACAGCAGATTTTCTTAAATTTTGTAAAGCGGCGGATTTGTCAATAGTTTGCAAAACAGCTGATTTGTAATACTTTGCAAAAATGCTGATGTTTTAATACTTTGCAAAACAGCTGATTTTTAAATTGTTTGCAAAACAGCTGATTTTTCAAATGTTGCCAAAACAGCTGATTTTTCAAATTTTGTAAAACAGCTGATATTTTAAAAGTTGCAAAACAGCTGTTTATTCAAAAGTGTGCAAAACAGCTGATTTTTCAAAGGTTAGCAAAACAGCATATTTTTCAATACTTTGCAAAACAGCTGATTTTCAATACTTTGCAAAACAGCAGATTTTTTAATTGTTTTTAAAACAGCAGATTTGTTATTACTTTGCAAAACAGCTGTTTTTTATACTTTGCAAAAAAGCTGATTTTTTATACTTTGCAAAACAGCTGTTTTTCAAATGTTGGGAAAACAGTTGATTTTTAAATTTTGTAAAACAGCGGATTTGTCAATAGTTTGCAAAGCAGCTGATTTTTAAATTGTTTGCAAAACAGCTGATTTTTCAAATGTTGCCAAAACAGCTGATTTTTCAAATTTTGTAAAACAGCTGATTTTTTTTAAAGTTGCAAAACAGCTGTTTATTCAAAAGTGTGCACAACAGCTGATTTTTCAAAGGTTAGCAAAACAGCTGATTTTTCAATAGTTAGGTAAACAGCAGATTTTTAATAATTTGCAAAACAGCTGATTTTAAAATTGTATGCAAAACAGTAGATTTTTCAATACTTTGCAAAACAGCTGATTTTCAATACTTTGCAAAACAGCTGATGTTTTAATTGTTTCTAAAACAGCAGATTTGTTATTACTTTGCAAAACAGCAGATTTTTTTATACTTTGCAAAACAGCTGTTTTTCAAATGTTGGGAAAACAGTTGATTTTTAAATTTTGTAAAACAGCGGATTTGTCAATAGTTTGCAAGGCAGCTGATTTTTAAATTGTTTGCAAAACAGCTGATTTTGAAATTGTATGCAAAACAGTAGATTTTTCAATACTTTGCAAAACAGCTGATTTTCAATACTTTGCAAAACAGCTGATTTTTTAATTGTTTCTAAAACAGCAGATTTGTTATTACTTTGCAAAACAGCTGATTTTTTTTTTATACTTTGCAAAAAAGCTGATTTGTTATACTTTGCAAAAAAGCTGATTTTTTATACTTTGCACAACAGCTGTTTTTCAAATGTTGGGAAAACAGTTGATTTTTAAATTTGGTAAAACAGCGGATTTGTCAATAGTTTGCAAAGCAGCTGATTTTTAAATTGTTTGCAAAACAGCTAATTTTTCAAATGTTGCCAAAACAGCTGATTTTTCAAATTTTGTAAAACAGCTGATTTTTTTTAAAGTTGCAAAACAGCTGTTTATTCAAAAGTGTGCACAACAGCTGCCTTTTCAAAGGTTAGCAAAACAGCTGATTTTTTAATAGTTAGGAAAACAGCAGATTTTTAATAATTTGCAAAACAGCTGATTTTAAAATTGTATACAAAACAGCTGATTTTTCAAATGTTGGCAAAACAGCTGATTTTTAAATTTTGTAAAACAGCGGATTTATCATAGTTTGCAAAACAGCAGATTTTTTAATACTTTGCAAAACAGCTGATTTTCAATACTTTGCAAAACAACTGATTTTTTAATTGTTTCTAAAACAGCAGATTTGTTATTACTTTGCAAAACAGCTGATTTTTTTATACTTTGCAAAAAAGCTGATTTTTTATACTTTGCAAAACAGCTGTTTTTCAAATGTTGGGAAAACAGTTGACTTTTAAATTTTGTAAAACAGCTGATTTTTTTTAAAGTTGCAAAACAGTTGTTTATTCAAAAGTGTGCACAACAGCTGCCTTTTCAAAGGTTAGCAAAACAGCTGATTTTTTAATAGTTAGGAAAACAGCAGATTTTTAATAATTTGCAAAACAGCTGATTTTAAAATTGTATGCAAAACAGCAGATTTTTCAATACTTTGCAAAACAGCTGATTTTCAATACTTTGCAAAACAACTGATTTTTTAATTGTTTCTAAAACAGCAGATTTGTTATTACTTTGCAAAACAGCTGATTTTTTTATACTTTGCAAAAAAGCTGATTTTTTATACTTTGCAAAACAGCTGTTTTTCAAATGTTGGGAAAACAGTTGACTTTTAAATTTTGTAAAACAGCTGATTTTTTTTAAAGTTGCAAAACAGCTGTTTATTCAAAAGTGTGCACAA